CTTCAGCCTCAGCCTCAGTCTGCCTTCAGCCTCGGCCTCAGCCTCAGCCTGCCTCCGCCTCAGCCTGCCTCAGCCTCAGCTCAGCCTGCCTCAGCATTCAAAATGTGGCCCGGGGAATGGAATTCTGGGAACTCGAAGAACACGAAGTGGCCTACAGTTGGCTCCGGGCATTCAAAATCATGCCCAGGAATGGAGTTCTGGGAACTCGAAGACCACGAAGTGGCCTACAGTTGGCTCCGGGCATTCAAAATGTGGCCCGGGAATGGAGTTCTGGGAACTCGAAGACCACGAAGTGGCCTACAGTTGGCTCCGGGCATCCAAAATGTGGCCCGGGAATGGAGTTCTGGGAACTCGAAGAGCACGAAGTGGCCTACAGTTGGCTCCGGGCATTCAAAATGTGGCCCGGGAATGGAGTTCTGGGAAGTCGAAGAGCACGAAGTGGCCTACAGTTGGCTCCGGGCATTCAGAATGTGGCCCGGGAATGGAGTTCTGGGAGGTCGAAGAGCACGAAGTGTGTGACTGTATGCAAAAAACGATCCCCCCCGGAAAACCCCAACGGCTCCCCAACGGCTGCCCAGACCCCCCTGGGGAGTCATCAGATGCTCTCTTTTGACACCACTAGAAACCTACCAGTCTTCGATGTTAGGTAAAAAAAAAATGCGCCGACCCCTGCAGCTCCGCACTGCCGACGACCTCTCGCCCACTCGACCGCGGTGCCTCATCATGGGCCAGCGGAATGAGCGAAGCGATTCAATAAATTGCACCACATAACAATACAACGCATATATTGCACAACGTAGAGTACACAACATGGATTGCACCACGTAGACTGCACCGCATGTATTGCACCCCGTCAATTGCACCACATAGATTGCGCACCACAATGATTGCACCACAAAGATTGCACCATATTGATTGCACCACATATTCTGCACCACAAAAATTGCACAACATAGTTTGCGCAACACGTATTGTAAAGCCTACATGTTACAATACGGTTTGCACCACATCGATTGAACCACATATATTGCTCCACAAAGATTGCACAGCATGTACTGCTATAGGTACACTGTTTGGGGGCCACGCTGGCTAACATGTGTGTCTATATACATATACAATAGAACCACGCGCGCGCTGTTCTAGCCCAGCCCATGGCGCTGTGATGGCACGAAGGTCGGGGTTTGCGGGCGACTCACTGTCCGAGAAGAGCGTCTTGGACCGGTTATGGGATGTCGCAGGGCTTCGTTGGACTGACTGGCTTCGGGGATGTTTAGGCGCTGTCCGAGGGGGGGGAGGGGGGGCACGTGTCTTTGGCCCCAATGGCGCCGTCCAGGGCTGCCGGATCGTTGTCACAGCACGCAAGTCTTGGCTTGTGGGCTCGTCGGGAAGATCGCTGAACAGCCTTGGGGCATTGACTGGCTTTCTGTTGAAATGTCGAGGCTCTAGTTTGCTGGTCTTTGGATGTCGTCACATGCTTGGCCTGTCGGGCCGAGCACGTGCGGGAGGGGCGAGGAATGATGGAGGACGGGACAAGAGCTGCCTTGAAATATAATGGACGCGCTGTCCCGCCAGCTGTCGGAACACGTGAAGAATGCCAGAGGACGCAGGGATAACTTTTTTCCGCGAGTTCAAGCGCTCAGCCCCTTCAGAACTGTAGAAGCACAGTTCAAGAGCACTTACCCAGGCGCGTTGAAGAGCGCCACCGCCAAAAGACTGGGACAGACTTCAACGGGCCTGGGCCTCATGCTGGGCTTCTGCAGGACATCGATGGGGCAACAGAGGGGAGAGGGAGGAGAGGGAGCGAGGGAGGGGGAGGCGGAGACGAAGACTCTGGACACTGGACGCTGCGCCTGTTCGCCCCACGGGGCGACCCTACGGGATGGGACTGCACAGCCGCTCATCAAACCACAGGATAGCAGCTCGGCTGGAGCCGCTCGCTGAGCAAGTGCAGCAACTGCACTGCCTGCGCGGGGAGCCCGGCCGTCGGAGCCTCGACGGGAGGGCGGGGCACACAAAAACAAGTGGAATGCATAGCACTGGCCCTGTCGAGTTGCGTCGGGCCTCCACTCGGACGAGTCCCTTGGACTCAGACGGCGTACCTTGCCAAGCCAACACGTTCGCCTATGAAACTGGAAATCCGTGCCAGGGCAACGAGATGCAACTCAGCAGAGAAGACATTGTGCAATCACGCGTGAGAACTCGAACTGGAAACAATATAATTTGGCCCAGTGCGAATCCACCTTAGGGTCAGTTGTTGTAGCCCGGGTTCGTATGACTGAGCCGAGGGATGAAACGAGATACGTCCATGCCCGGAAAATGTCGAACCCAAAGAAAGAATAAGATAGCATGGGCTCAGGCAGCTCTGCAACCACCGGAAACAGGACCAGATTGCTGCCGCCTGAGCAAGCAAGCAAGCAAGCAAGCAAGCAAGCAAGGCCCAGTCGCGTCGAATCGGTCCACAAGCGGACGCGGACAGAAAACTGTGAAGTCACCTGGGCGACAGACAAATTGCACGCATCATTGGGCTCGGAAGCCCTGCGGTAAACTCACGGGGCCAAGCATGTGGGGCCCAGCCCTGAGCTGTACGAGGGGGGGGGCGATCCCAAGCTTTCCCCCTCTTCCTTCGGCGGTGGACAAACCTCCCTTTAGTAAACCTCCCCTTAGTGAAAGCGGCCTGGGACCGAAACCGACGGACCTGGACCCGCAAAAATGACGGCCGCGACGCCCTCCCGCGAACCGAAAACGGCCAATTCCTTCATCGGCGTGTCAGGGTAGGAGTTCTGTCCACCCCCGATTCCTGAGCCGTCTCGTTTTTCGTCGAAGAGCGGGGAGGCCATGGCGGCGTCGGAACTGAGCCGGGCTCGGCGGCCCGTTCGGCAGCAGAAGGGGCTCGGACGCCGAGCAGGCTCAGAAGGGAGCCCTGGGCTCAGCGGGCCCTGGAAACGACAAGGCATTTTTTTAACCGCTTCCATGTTGCCGTTTTTGCTCCCGGTTCCGACGCCGTTGTTTTACTGGTTCCGTCGCCGTTGCTTTACCGGTTCTGGCTCCATTTCCAATCCTGGAGCCGTCTTTTTGCAGTTTCTGGTCGCCGGTTGCCGTTTCCATGTTCAAGACACACTTTTTCGGAAACGGTTTAAAAAAACGGCTCCGCCGTTTCCGGAGCCCACTAAGATCCTGGGGCAGCATGAAACGTGGAAAGAATGCAACAACTCGCGGCCCCGAAAATGGCGGCTGTTTCTTGAAAGGCCGCCTTGCCCGAGCAAATGGCGAGGAGGGGCGAAGAGGTCTGTCCACTGCCTCTCGTGGTGGCTGCTACACGCCGTCACATGAGGCCAGGATCCTACAGCCAGGAACCTCAGAACATGAAAATTCGACATACCTTATTAGTTGGACTGAATGGTGGCTTCCTGGACGCTCCGGTTTTCGACAATCATCATACCGCGTGTTGGCGCTAACGTGTCGACGCAAGCGGTGTAGCGAGGGCCGACACAAGCTGCATGCCATCGGCGGAGCTGAAGGGGGCAAACACACATTGGAATCGATGTGCAAATTCTCGCGACAAGGCATGTGACCGGTCTCCCTGGTCGCGACAAGATTCCCGCAGGCGCCGTCTGGGAATCAGCTGCTCTTGGGCATTCCCAAGCGGCACAGGCGCGAGACGCGACGTGGCCAGCAGCCCCCATACCCCCTCCCCCCCTCCAGTCACGCCCGCTATCGCCAAGGGGATACAATTAGCCTGGCGAAGAACCCGACCATATGCAGTTGTCAGTACCGCAGCTGCGGGTTTCATCTTCAATGGAACTCCCCATAGGATTACGAAACGTGTGAGGGGTGTGCCGAATTGGGTGCGGGTGGTGACGCATGCGGGCGGCAGCACTGGGGCCTTCGGTGGAGCTCCCCCCCATGGGGCCACGAAACCTGTTGTTGTGAGGGGCGTGCCGTGGATGGGTGGCGGGGACGCATGTTGAGCGCGGCCGCTGGGGCCTTCGGTGGAGCTCCCTATGGGGCCACGAAACGTGTGAGGGGTGTGCCGAATTGGGTGGGTGGGTGACGCATGTGAGCGCCGCCACTGGGGCCTCCGGTGGATGATGGGGCCACGAAACCTGTCAGGGATGTGCCGAAATGGGTGTGCGGGACGCATGCGCATGTGAGCGCCGCCACTGGGGCCTTCGGTGGAGCTCCCTATGGGGCCACGAAACGTGTGAGGGGTGTGCCGAAATGGGGTGTGGGGTGACGCATGCGGGCGCGGGCACTGGGGCCTTCGGTGGAGCTCCCCTATGGAGCCACGAAACGTGTGAGGGAGGGGTGTGCCGAAATGGGTGTGGGTGACGCATGCGGGCGCGGGCACTGGGGCCTTCGGTGGAGCTCCCTATGGAGCCACGAAACGTGTGAGGGGTGTGCCGAAATGGGTGTGGGTGACGCATGCGGGCGCGGGCACTGGGGCCTTCGGTGGAGCTCCCTATGGAGCCACGAAACGTGTGAGGGGTGTGCCGAATGGGTGTGGGTGACGCATGCGGTGCGCGGGCACTGGGGCCTTCGGTGGAGTGGGCCACGAAATAAATGGGTTGGGTGACGCATCACTGGGGCCTTCGGTGGAGCTCCCTATGGAGCCACGAAACGTGTGAGGGGTGTGCCGAAATGGGTGTGGGTGACGCATGCGGGCGCGGGCACTGGGGCCTTCGGTGAGCTCCCTATGGAGCCACGAAACGTGTGAGGGGTGTGCCGAAATGGGTGTGGGTGACGCATGCGGGCGCGGGCACTGGGGCCTTCGGTGGAGCTCCCTATGGAGCCACGAAGCGGTGTACTGGGTGGGTGAAGAGGAGAGGAGGAGAGGATGATAGGAGGGGAGAGGAGGCGGAGGAGGAGAGGAGGAGAGGAGACGCGGGGCACCGTCTCTTCAAAACGAGGACCCAACAACACAGGTTGGTTGGGAAAAAAAACATCTGGGCCAACACGTGACCGCAAGCTCGACGAGACTTTCAGACGAGGGAGCCGGGCACCCCGTAACGCGTGTCGGCGGCTATGGCCACGCACTTCTCGCCCGCCATCGCCACGATGGCGGAACCGTTGTAATTCATGATCCTGGGCGGAAAGAGGGGGAGGGGGGGGTTCTGGCTCCGGACCTCCGCTTGGTACGACTGTTTGAAAAAGTGCGTCCTGTGGAGGGCACTCCACCTGCCTGAAACAGGCGCCAAAAACAGCGATGATCGAATTACTCCACGGAAATGTTGGATTGCACGCGTGTTGAACCATCTGGCTGTCATGTAAAAGCGGCGCTGCCGCTAGCAGAGTGCTTATAAAAGTAATCTGCACGGGCACCAAGTGAACAAGTTCAGTGCAGTAGGTCCCACCGATCCCGCCCCTGACAAGGATGCAGCTGGCACGAACATGCATCATGGCACGACATGGCGGCTTGCACCCCGATCAGCTGCCCCTGTCGGGGGGGAGGAGGGGAGGGGGGGTGCGAGCCCCCGAAGCCGCGGGCACGGACAGATGGTCAACGTTTTTTGCTCGGCGTTTCGACATTGGCCGGAGGGGGGGCGGAGGGGGGGGGTCTGGCTCAGGGCCTCTGCTTAATGTTAAGTCAGGCCTGTTCCCCTACAGGGTGATTTTGGAAGAAAAATTAGACATACCCCAAAAAGATTCAAATCAACGCTCGAAAAAACTAAAACAATAATCCCCATACTATTTCTTTATTATTTTGAATATCTGGAGGGACAGGCCCAACTTAAGCTGAATAGCGTCTGGGGGCCCAGCCCCCGAGGCCACGGGCACGGATAGATGGTCAACGTTGCTGTTACTCGGCGCTTCGACACTGGGCGGAAGGGGGGAGGCAGGGGGGGGCTGACTCCGGACCTCTGCTTCACGGCGTCTGTTTGCAGCGGTGCGTCCTGCGGGAAAGACTCCACCTGCTCGAAGCAGGCGCCAAAAAAGCAGCCAAGATCTGCTCCAAAAGGGGGGGGGAGGGGGGGGGCGAGGGCCCGCGCCGGCCGGCAACACAATGAACCAGAGAACGATGACATGTTCTTCGCCCATGAGCGCCGAGCCCTCGACGCCGAGAGCACCCAACAAGGTCCTCGGGGGAAGATATCGTCGCCGCCGCCGCCGACGCCGCTGGTGGGAACAGGCATGTTTGAGGCTCGGGGGTTCCCCTCCCTGGCGCGCGGAGCGCGCCAGGGGCGGCGCCGGAGGCGCCGCCGGGGGGCCCCAGCGCCGATTCGAGAAATCCGCGCGGACCTCCGAGTTTTTATGTGTATGTCACTTGCTGTTCCCCTGCCGAGTCCGTGAGTCGGTTTCACCTCGACTGGCCCGCGTGCGGTCTCCGATCAGAGTTCGGCGTGCCGGACTCCGTTGCCCCAATAGCCAGGCACTGTTTTTTAATCCGCGGGTCGAGAGCGCACCTCTTCCGGTCGAAGCTAAGCGGGCCGCGCGAAGCTTGAATTAACCAGAGGTGGGGGAAAAAGGGGGGCGCAGCCTCAGAACGAGGCCGGGAGGAGGCAAAGCCTCGGAATCAGGCGGTGCCGAAACCGGCGTACTTGCAAAGGAGCGCCTTCTCCATGAACCCGGTGGCGAAGTACCAATGGCCAGGCACAGGGAGAGGGGAGGACGGGGACCGTGACGAGGCCTCGGGGGGGAGGCCGGCACCAGAGGACGCCGACTGCACACAGTTGTTTTTATATTCGCGGGTCGAGAGCGCACCTCTTCCGGTCGAAGCTAAGCCAGCCGCGCGAAGCTTGAATTAACATCCCCGACTGCACACAGACACCGAGGACGCCAGACTCGGGCCTGCCCCATGTATCATGCCCCAGCACGAGGGGTCGCTCCCTGTCGAGCCCACGCAGGGAAATTCTTCATCAGCTCGACTCCTGCGAAGTGGAGTCCTACATGCACAGCATTATTCGACCGAATCCCGCCAAACGCGTGCGTCCTGCTGTAGCTCCCAGCGTCGATGCTCAGCATTTAGCCATTACTTACTTGATTAAATGGCCCTTTGCCTAGTTTACCGATCAGGTGACCGTGTAATCGAAACACATGTACGTCGGTTGCTCGAATGGCTGATTGATTGGCCGACAAACAAAAGCAGTGATTTGGCTGGATGCCCAATCACGGTAAAGTACTGGTTCATTGCATCGATGGCTATTAATTGGTTGATTGACAGGTGGGTGTGTAGATCATTGACTGCTTAGTTGAACTTTTGATTGAGTAGCCCGGCACCTGAATGTCCAATTGAATTGGTTGTTGGTCGTATCTTGCTTGCTGGTTTGGGTCAATCGGCTGACGATTTCATCAATATCTTGATCTGTACCCCTCAGCTGACGCAGGACGCCATCCAATCCGTCATCCTGTGACCGCCATGGAACCACTTAGCAGAACTCCTGGCGAGGCGCAAAGATTACACACTGGACCTCGGACGGGGCCGTCTTTCGGCGAACAGACTGCTCCGATGGCACTCGCAGAAGCTCTCGCGCCCGATCGCAGGGCTTCGGGAGAGACAACGTTGGTGAACAGTCTTCCGATGGACCGAGTCCCACCCCGCCATTTCCCCGTATGCCTTCAGGATGACACAGCCGCAGAGACATCCGACTGAAGCCTCCTCAAACGCCACCCGAGAGGTCCTGCAGAGCATCATGGGTCCCCGAGATGACCCTGGCCAGCCTCCAAGGACGACCCCGAGACCGCTCCGAGGCGGCCGCCGACCGCCCCAAGACGGTCCCGAGGCGACCCCACATCGCCAAGAGGGCTCTGAGGCATTCCTAAGACCCCCGAAGGGACACACAGGAGCCAACAGGGCTCAAGAAGGCCCTGAGAGAGCCCTGACATTGAAACGCGCGTGCGGAAGCCATACCGGCAAACAGTCCCTTCCTTGGAGATTTGCGTCCTGGGTGCCCCTTTGGGGCACACCGTGACTCCCGTTATGCGCACTCGATCCGCCATTTTGCCCGCATGATGCGGGGTCGTTCGAATCACAATCACCACCACCACCATCATCACCATCGCCATCACCACCTTCATCACCATCACCATCGTTAGCATCAACAACATCACCATCACCATCAGCATCACCATCACCATCGTTGGCATCAACAGCATCACCATCACCATCACCATCCGCCCGCCACTCCCCCTGTCCCTTCCCCCTCCCCGCGCGGACAGGGGGGCGAGGGCGAGAGAGCGTCCCGCTCATGGCGCCGCGGGTGTCGTGCGGCCGCCGGGGGCCCTGCGGAGGGAAGGGGGGAGGGGCCCGCGGTCACAGGTCACAGGAGGAGAGGGCGGGGGAGGAGAGGAGGAGGAGGAGGAGGAGGAGGAGGAGGAGGAGGAGGAGGAAGAAGGGGAGGCGAGCAGGGGAAGCATGAAGGACGGAAGGAGGCGCTGACAAGATCGGTCGACCAATCGATCGAGCTTTCGAGCTGACAAGAGGAGGAGGAGGAGGAGGAGGAGAGGAGGAGGAGGAGGAGGAGGAGGAGGAGCAATAAGCAATGCGCGGGGAGTTCAAATGGGTTGCGCGGGCAGTTCAATGAGCAGATGCGCGGTGCGGGTCCCGCCAGCGAGGGTCTCCCCGTCTTTTCCACAGCCAACCCGCACACCACCAAGTCGGGTTGCGCAGAGTTCTTTCTGAAATGAGGTAGAGGAGGAGGAGGAGGAGGAGGAGGAGGAGGAGGAGGAGGGGGGGAGGAGGAGGAGGAGAGGGAGGAGGAGGAGGAGGAGGGAGGAGGAGGAGGAGGAGGAGGAGGAGGAGGAGGAGGAGGAGGAGGAGGGGAAGGACGGGGAGGAGGAGGAAGAGAAGAAGAAAGAGGAAGGAGGAGGACGAAGAGAAGGAGCCCCCAGCCGCCTGGGAGCCCCGCGGGGCGGGGGGGGCCGCTGGTCCGCCGCGGGCGGCCCCCTACCGAGACCGGCCTGCTTCCGTCGCTCCTGCGGCGGGCTCGCCCCTCCCCCCTGCCTGGGCTCACCTTGTACAGTGGAGGCCCGACCACAAGAAACCTCCCACAAGAAACCCAACCCTGAACCCCAGGACGCCCATTGACTTCGGACGTGGGCACGTCACGCCCTCCATGGCAGAACCATCGAGACCCAAGAGAAACCCGGGGCACCCTGGAGGCAAGCAGGGTGTCTCTTGGCGTGGGCCCCCACTGGTAACCCATAACTTTGGACGCCCGAAATGGGCACGGAAAGAATGGGTACAATGCCCAACAACCAATGTTGTCCCAAATCAACAGCGGCCGCTGTTGGGCAGGCGGCCTCCTGTCCCAAAGGAGCACGGGCCGCGGCGGCGCGGACAGCGATCCCTGTTCAAGATGAACAGGAACTGCTGTTGGGCATTGTACCCATTCTTTCCGTAGCCATTTCGTTCCTGCCTGCCGCACCACCAGGTGCGTCGTCGGGGCGGGCCGGGCGTTTCGCCTGAGGCTTCCTTCAAACACTGCAGTAGGAGCCCGACCGCAAGAAACCTTCCACCAGAAGCCCAACCCTGGAACCCCAGGACGTCCATTGGTGTTTGGGGGAGCGTCAGGCTCTCCATAGCAAAACTGTACAAAACCATCAAACCCAAGACCAGGGCACCCTGGAGGCAGGCAGAGTGTTTCTTGGCATGGATCTCCACTGCACTCCGACAGTAGGATCCCGCATCAGAATCCTCTCGGCGAACCTGGGGAATTACCCTCGATCGCCGTCCTCGTGATGGGTGGGGCGCCCTTGCTGTCTCCGCTGCGTCGTTTTCCTTCTCGCCCCCTTGCCCTTGCGCAGGGGCCCGAAAGTGACGACAGTTACAGGATTCGGACGACCCGCTCAGATTAATATCACAATCTGCGGGCCCTATAGAGAGGGGGGTCCCGCCTGAGACTTCCTCGCATTTCACTCACGGACGAGGCTCTCGCACGAGACTTCATCCAGATTCAAGGCTCAGGGGCCCGACGGCGACGACAATTACAGAATTTGGATGACCCGCTCGGATTAATAACAAAATCTGTGGGCCCCATGAGGAAGAAACGAAACGAACGAGGGAAACGGAACCTGTGCAGGTTCCCTCTCCCGCGGCTAGAGCGGGAGCCCTTGCAGGTTCCCTCTCCAGCCGAACGAGAGCAAGACAGGGAGGGACACTGTTGCAGGCTCCTTCTCCCGCGGCTAGAGCGGGAGCCTTTGCAGGTTCCCTCTCCAGCCGAACGAAGGAAGGAGAGGGAGCCGTTGCAGGTTCCCTCGCCCGCGACTAGTGCGGGAGCCTTTCCAGCTTCCTTGTCCAGGAGGGAAAAAAAGCATTTGCAGGTTCCCTCTCCCGCGGCTAGAGCGGGAGCCTTTTTCAGGTTCCCTCCTCAATCAACCACGACGAAGACCAAAACCACGACATCGAATTTCTCCGGAAAGAAGGAGACAAGAAAGAACGATGATCCAACTATTCTCGCCGAGTGCTTGCACGAGCCTGCAACGAATGCTACTCGCACGAGGCCCCCGATCGAAAGTTCCCCGTTGAAGCTTCCTCCGACGTAAATCTGGCCCCTCGCAAAGGGGGGAGGTCCGCCTAAGATTTCCCCGCGTCACAGGATTCGGACGACCCGCTCAGATTAATATCACAATCTGCGGGCCCTATAGAGAGGGGGGTCCCGCCTGAGACTTCCTCGCATTTCACTCACGGACGAGGCTCCCGCACGAGACTTCATCCAGATTCAAGGCTCAGGGGCCCGACGGCGACGACAATTATAGAATTGGAATGACCCGCTCGGATTAATAACAAGATTCGGGTGACCCGCTCGGATTAGAACCATGATCTGCGGTCCCCATAGGGAGGGGGCTCCCGCCTGAGACTTCCTCGCATGTCAATTACAGACGGGATTCCCGCACGAGACTTCGTCCAGATTCAAGGCTCACCTGCGGCTCCCAAAGGGAGGGGGCTCCCGCCTGAGACTTCCTCGCGCTTGACTGACAGACGGGGCTCCTCTGTTCGAGACTTCCTTAACATGAACGTATGCGTGTGCATGCGAAGGCGATGATTATGGGGATGGTGCTGTGAAAGTAATGCTGGTGATGACCAGATGGTGATACTGAGCGAGATGATGATCATGCTGATGGTGATGCCGATGATGAACTGAGTGCGTGACAGATGTATTGTGTATGCTGAGTGTGTGATTGATGATGATGATGATGATGATGATGATGATGATGATGATGATGATGATGATGATGATGATGATGATGATGATGCGATGATGATGATGATGATGATGATGATGATGATGATGATGATGATGATGATGATGATGATGACGATGATGATGATGATGATGATGATGATGATGATGATGATGATGATGGTGTGAGTGATTGAATTAATGATGCTGATGTTGCAAGAGATGGTGAGGAGGCTGGTGCTGTTATGATGATGGTGGTGTGAGTGGCTGACTGTGATTGTGCGAAGGGAGACAAGCATAGGGAGGAGGAGACGTACTGCGCGGGGCTCCAGAGAAAACGAAAACCTCACTACTAAGGATGTGGGGGGAAATCCGCCGACCCTGTCAGCGTATGTGAATTGTTTTTCGGTTTAAACCGACCTCGTCGCCGCTACCCCGCTTTCCCTGGGCCCTCCTCCTCAAGCGATCCAGCCATACGGAAACCAAAGAACGTCGTAATTGATTCGACGGGAAAGCCCTTTCTTTTGATCCCTTCCCTGGCGGGGGAGGTAGCAGGGAGAGGTCCCCAGGGGGTGGGGGGAGTAGCAGGGGGAATCCCGGGAAGGGTAGCGGGGGGGGGGTCCGAGAGGGGTCCCGGGCGTCGTGCCGCCTCCGCCAGAGGGGTCTCCCCAGTGCAGAGGATGAGCAGGGGGGCGGTCCCCTTGTGGACAGAAGGACCCCCCCCCCGCCTCGACCCTGTGGACAAGGGGACCCCCATCCTCCCCCCCCTCCTGGACCCCCCCCAAAAAACAGGTACCCTCCTCGCTCCCATCTGCTGTTGCACGGTGCTGCGTGTTTTCCTTGCATGACTCCAGGAGGCCTCAGATCTAGTCCGAAGCGTCTCCAAGTGGCCACCAAGCTTCCCACAAAGTCTCCCAGTGGTCCCCCAACAGAGCCCAACAGGCTCCCAAGAGAGCCCCAAGAAAGGCTCCAGAGCATCAGCGTCGTCGTCGTCGCCACCGCCGCCGCCGCCGTCGTGCCCCTCCAGGGCCGGCGGCACCAACAGCAAGGCCTTCCGAATGTAAGTGCTTCCCAGTTCGAGATGCGCCCCCAAGAATTGCACAAATGGGGAACTGGTCATATTCAAAATGGAGCTCTCGCCCTAGAGAAGCGAACACCCTCTTAAGCATGTCACACAGCAGACACAACAACGGCAAGGACGCGGACGCACAACGGGCACGCAATGGACACCCGCGGACATACGACGGACACTCATCCTTCTCCTCCTCCGCCTTCTCCTCCTTTCCTCCTATTCCACCTCCTCCTCCTCCTCCTCCTCCTCCCCCTCCTCCTCCTCCTCCTCCTTCAGCGACCTTCAGCGATCGTGGGCACATCCCTCCGCACCGAGATGCATGAAACGCGTGGCCGGCAAACAACAACAAAGAAGAAGAAGAAGAAGAAGAAGAAGCGGGGCGCGCCCGAGCGCCAGGGGCCGTTGCAGCCGAACGAGAAGCTCGGCGGCAGCACGACGGCCGACGACCGCCCGAGGGGGCCTCCGCACTCCGCAGACGCGCCAAGCCCGCGCGGCGCGGCGCACCTCCGCCCGGGGGCACGCCTGGACGACGGGGACTGCGCCGCCCAGGGAGTGCCTTCGAACTCCGGGTGGCGTCCCTGGCTTCGGGGGGCGGTCCGAACGGGGGCACCGCGCGGCGAGGATGGAAGCGGTGCCGCCCCGAAGGCGCCGCGCCTGGAACATGTCCCTGTCCCTATGCTGGGCATCTCCTCATCACGATGCCAATCTTGGGGATTCCCTTATTGTTTGAGGGCGCGTCCCTAAGCTTGTCATCGCCGTTTGGCGTGTCAGTCTGAGGGATAGGCATAAGTTCGAGGCTGGCAATCTTCGAGCTCGGGGTGGCGTCCCTGGCTTCGGAGGGCGGTCCGAACGGGGGCCCGCGCGGCGCGGGGGAAGCAGTGCCGCCCCGAAGGCGCCGCGCCGCGAGCGCCGCGAACGCCACGGCCACATCCGATGGAAAAGTCCGCGGGGCTCGCGAGCGGCCCTTGCAGCTCTGGACAGCCCACGGCAAACAGT